TATCCTATACGGAATTATAAGTTCAAGAAATATTTCCACAAGGAGCACTGGTGATAAGTATTTGTTAATACCCAAAACAGCTGTGTGCTATTTAAAAATCCTTCTAAATGCAAATTACCCTTTATTAAAAAAACTATATTAATAAAAATATGAGACAACTACTGGTTTACGGGTTCAGTCTTCGTCTAATAAAGAGAAAACCCCAGACGAGTAATTAGAAAGTAATAATTTTTTGTTATAAAAAGTTTTTTTTTAAAAAAGTAAAAAAAATTGTACGGTAGATTCTCGGAGTAACAAAAATATTTTCATTATTTTGGATATATTTCCTTTGGAGCGTTAGTTAGAGAGAACATTTTTGGTATGATTCCTTTTTGCAAGCATTTGATCGGTTGTTATAGGAGGTTTTTTATGCATTTTTAATCTATAGAATAATAGACTTTCTAAACAATTTAATTTAAATAATCATTATCATAGTAAAAATAATAATAATAATACACATATTGTATAACAATAATATTAATTACAATATACCGGCCTACCTAACCTACCGGCCTTAGAAAAAAGTTAAATAAACTTAAAAATGTTATTAAAATTTTAATAAAAATGAATAGTTTTTAAATTTATTGAAAAAAAAAAACTTATAAAACAAATATTAAAATAATAACACAACGAAATATCTTAAATAAGTCAACAAAGAAGATGATGGAGGGGTGTATTGCAAACCTGTAGCAGTACTAGAGAGGTGGTATAAATTCATAAAACGAAGTAGCGTTTGTTAAAGTCGGAATTATATAAAATAAAAAAACCCATTTGTGCTATATGGGTGCTGAATACTGTTTCAATAAACATGTATACGTCTTATTTAATATCTTTTAAGTACAATAATATAAGTAGAATAGTAATAAGTTAACACAAAGTTAAGATAGTACTATTCATATCCAATAAAGGATGTTTTAAAAAAAAAATTGTACTATGGTGTTGTTGAAAATCCCTTTTTTATAAACTAAACTTAGTGGCATTGAGTAGGATTTTTCATATATATCTATCCTAAATTCTACACAACACTTATAAAGTGGGGGTATTTATTTTTTTTATATCTCTATTGCATATACAATTTTTGAATAGTCTTAACATAGATTAATATTTAATATAATATTATGCAGTATATACATATACTTTTCTTCACAATCTACTTGTGTTACCTTAAGAATCTATTAAGTAATAAACTTTAACGAACTGAAGTGTTCCACTTCAAATAAAAAAAATATTGTAATGATTTTACATTTTCATACATAAATATTTCTTAAATACTTTACTTTATAATCTAATACTACAATGTGTCTGGAAAACAAAGAGGCATTTATAATGATAATGATATAAATAAACTTTCATATATTATATATACATGTATGCATATAGTATGTATATAAATTAATTTTATACGCTCATTTTTTGTTTGAATATATTTTTTTTTATATATAACTATTGATATATTCAATAAATCTTTCAACTTAAATATTGTTTGTATTTTGTAAAATAATTTATATTTTCTAAGTATGGTGGAACTCTTTTATCTAACAACGTGTCACAATATTAGAGAACGCTGTATAAAAAGAGAAGAATTATTAGAGAATTAAAAACAATTATTAGAAAGAACTACTTATTTTATATAAATAGTAATAGAACTTGTAATAAAAGTTAACACCATACTTCACGTAATTATTATATTACATTAACGTTTAAATGGGGGAAGTCAGGAACCATGATAATTTCCAGAGGCCCAACTAACAACAAGGTTTTCATCAAAACTTACCAGATAAATAAATTAACAGAGCAAGTTTTGTCTTATGCAAAAAAAATTTATAATCAAAAATAATATTAATAATTTTTAATCAATCTAGTAATTTAGTTACACTAATTGCACATGATTTTTGGTAAATACACTTGCCCAAACCCGCGTCAACGATTAATCACATTTAGTGGAGGGCGTTTCTCCATGGGTGATCTGTTCAATATTATTTCAGACAAAGTTTAATGTTAACTTTTTCTATAAATTATCTAACTTTCTATGTTATTTAGAGTATAAAACTTCCAGTATGTTTAACGTTAATGAATAAAAACTTTCTAATATTGCATTCTCATCTCATTGTTCATTGCTAAAAAAGAGAGATATATATTTATATTAATTTTTTCTTATTTTGCTTTTAACCTATTAGATGGGAGTTTATTTTTTAACTTCCTAAATCTGCGCTAAGATATGTATTCTATAGCAATTTGAGTTGTGCTGCATAGTTTTAATTATTATATTAATTATTATAGCTTATATAGATGATATGTGTTTAATATTTTACAGCTTCTCTCAGACTCTGAAATTAAATTAAATTTTAAATTCAAGTAAAGACTAAAGAACTGTTAATCAAAACGGTAGCAATCAAAGCAGTATTCAAAACAGACAAAAAAGCTAATTCTCTAAAATCTTTACTTAAATGTGGAAATCTTCAAAGTATTCTAACCAAAAACCTTACCAAACACAGAGTAATGGTTCAAGACTAGACAAACGACAATTTCCAAGGAAATAATGTTTTTAAAATATAAGTTGCTTCAACACATTATACTTAGACGTACAGAAGGCATCACTAAAATAATTCTTAATTATAACTTCCAAGACAACAGACCACAGTAGAGACTGCTTAAACAACACAATGAGAGAGCTGGAGTGTAAGCATCACTAAAATAATTCTTAATTATAACTTCCAAGAGAGCATACTGCAGTAAGAGACTATTTATTTTTGTTATTTATTTTTTATTTAGTAACCGAAAAATTTTTCGGTATTAAATCCCAAAGGATTTTCTTTTAGTAAAAATATGTGTTTTGCATGGCATACGTGTATTAAAATGAAGGCCGAGGGATTTTGCAATGTTTGATTGCGGAATTATTATATTATTAAGTTTAATTTCGGGGCAGGTATATCCTCTCGTTGTTGACATAAAAGAGTCTTTTCAATAGATACGATTTTATGAACGTAAATTGGTTTAGTGGCAGAACATTTTTTGATCAAATGTATGGCCCTTGGTGCCATACAAGATCAAATGCTTGAGATATGTCCACAAATGCCGCTGAGCAGTATTCTTTTCGCTCGAAAGTGGTCTGTACTTTTTCAACAATTCTATGAATATACTCAATCGTTGAATGTTTTCTTTTGAATCCACACTGGTGATTCGGAATTATTCGTTTTGACTCAATTATCGGCATTAGACATTTTAAGAATAGTATCTCAAGTACTTTCAAGATGTAACGTTTTTAGCTATTTTTCCTGGTTTTAGTATCATTTTTACTTCGGAAACTTTCATCGAGCTGGGATGCAGTTTTTTATCAAGGATGCATTTAAAAGATGTGTAATCAATATTAAATTGATATCTGGAAGTTTTTAAAGGATTTCAGTGGTTATTTTAGAAAATTTTGTTATTAAATAAATACATTAACTATGCTTTCTAAAAGAATGAATAAGGGTCATGTTATGTTGTAGAATGTTTTGGGCACGGCAGGAGTAAAATTGTTTTTGTTTTCAATGCAAATTATGAAATAGAGATTGAGAGAAAAAGCAAGATGTCGGTTCAAATTCCGGCATATTTGTGCCTCAGCACAAAGTAGTGTTGTTTAGTAATAAATTTCGCATTTTAGGAGCAAATTACTCCAATTTTAGTGCATTTTGAAGAAAAAATGGCAGTAACCAACACAGCCTATTTTATAAATCGCTAATAATCCAATTATTACACTTTCTGATTTTTAAGGAATTTTAAGGAAAGGAGTATAGTTTTTTAAGTACAGTTAACAATTATTATAGGATAATATAACAATATTATTATGAGTTTTTTCTTGCTGGTTATTTTTCGTGGCAAATTGAAAGTGAGCATATTTACATTTCCTTTTAAATTTAGGCACAACCATAAAGTACCAAAAAGGACTAAAAATACGAAATTGGCAATACTGATGTGACAGTCTACATAACATGCTTTTACGGCATAGCCCGAAAGAGCCAATTTTGTCGTGCCCGAGACGCTCTACATACTATGGCCTTAACTTGCATTTTCGTCATTAGTATTTTAATTATTCCCCATTCCCCAGTGCATACAAAAAAAAAATGCATGCAAAATATTGATATGAAAAAATATTAAAATATCGGTTCTGTTCCGAACCGAAAAAACCTATATTATTGCCGGAGCGAAGACCGGAACCGAACCGATATATATTTTTTTTCTAGAACCGGATCGAAAACCGAAACGGAATAAATTACGGTTCGAAGCCCTAATAAAATGAATTGATTAAAAGAAAAACCATTTAAAATTTAATTTTAGTGAATGTTTACTTGTATTTGTTTCGTTTGGTTTTGCCATAAAATTGTTTTTCATGTGTCAACGCCACCCTGCGTTTTGACATTTGACGAGAAAAACAGTTTGTTTTAGCGCTGCCGTTTAGTAAAAAGTATTTAGTTTCTATATAAATGTTTTGCAATATTTAAAGTGAATGCAAGGACGAAATGGAGGACATATTTGAGAATTCGAAAAGTAATCCGAGAATTATGACTTTCTATCCTACTTATGAGCAGTTCAAAAACTTTTCAAAATTCATCACTTACATAGAATCTAAGGGGGCTCATTTGGCAGGACTCGCCAAAGTTGTGCCTCCTCGCGAATGGGTACCACGTAAATCTGGTTACGACATTGATCATATTAATATGTTAATACCAAATCCGATACTGCAATTAGTTTCAGGTAACTTTAAAGATATTTTATAATTTATAATAAACGGGCTAATTGATCGATCAGTAGTTAAATACTATTAAAAAAAAATTTTTTTTAAACCAGTCGAGGCTTACAGAAGGTTTATGAAGAAACCTCGCAGTTAGTAGAGAGTAAAAGAGCTCAAGTGCACTGACTCAACTAGCCTCAAAATAATTAAAAATATTTGATGATTAAAACAATTAATTATTAAAATGAATTTTATTTATAAATTCTGAGTTAAATAAACACAAAAAAAGTCTTAGTCTATCCCATATGATTTACACAAGTAAAATTGCATTAATAACACCGTCGTTCTCCGGATTATTTGTTACTTGCGCATACTTGCCCCAAACAACCTTGCCAGTCTGTGTAACTAAACCAAGTTCAGAAATGTTAACTTCTATGACGGTACCTTTTGTTATTACGCCTAACGATGTGAACATTGGCGAACTAGGATTCTTCTTTACTCCAATAATGGGCAAGTAAAAAGTTGCTTTTAGTTCTGGATGTGTAACATGTGCCTTTTTCATGCGTAACGCCATGGGACGTATGAAGCGTTCAAATTTCGGTGGTTTACGTGTGAAATTATCTCCAACAAACGTCACCTTTGTAACCATACGTTTCCAAGCTTTACGTTTTGTTTTACCAGTTTTCAATACTTTGAAAACTTCTGCGTCGGATTGTGCACGCACTTTTGGGATTGGCACGTCCCATTTACCAGCTTTCTCTTTACGCTTCTGTTTAATCATATTTGATAGTACTTTAGCGCTAGACTGAGCACCTCGGTCCAACAAATAATGTGGTATAGCTCCATCTTCCACTTGTTGCTCCTGCTTCTTGACTTTCTTCTCTTCGTGCGCTTGGATTTTCTTTTTCATTTGTATTTTCTCATTCCGGCGCTCCTTATTGAAAAGTTTAGCCTTAATACCACGTAATTTGCGCGCTTTGCGTGCTCTTTCCTTTGGTAAACGCGCTTCCTTCTTACGTTTGCGTTCCTCATAATCAAGACGGCGACCGTAGAGTTTACGGTGCCTTTCCATATATTCATTTTGCGGCATTGTGGTTGTGTTATATTAAGATCACTGAAAAATATATTTTTATTTAAATTATAAAAGAATTAACTTAATATTTTTATTTACTAACAAATTTCACAACGCAATACAATCCCACACGTGAAGAAAAGGTTTTGTTTCAGCTATTTTGACGTTAAATACCTTGTAGAAAATTTATGAACTGCCGCAGTCAATAATAATGTGTACAACTCAAATTTTATGTTGCCTTGTTTTTCTGAATATTAATTGTTATAATATTTAAAGACCATATGTTGACTTATAATAGTTTTATTAAATTTAATAAATTTTTATAAACGTTTTCTTGTCAATATATGCCATTAAATTTTAATAACATTAAATTTAAACGCAGATGGTACCATTAACTATTAGGTACAAAATGTGTTTTTACTTTGTGCAGTAGTGTTGCCAACATATGAAAATAAAATTTATAATTTAACATTATGAAATATATACTGTATTTAATTTGCATTTAGTTCATCAAATATTTTACGTAAAAAAAACAATAATGTTAAGATAAGGTATCTTACATTCCTTTTTATATAATAAATTATATAATGTATACATATCTCTTTAAACATCGAATATATTTTAAGTGCAAAATTGTAATATATGGCATTTTTAATAGAGCAAACGAAAGTAGAGATTTACATGACGTTTATACCTCAAATGACTGATTTGGGTTAAAAATCAGAAATGAAAAGTAAATGGCTTCCGTTTTTGATATATTTACAAAAAAAAAAGGTAAACAAATATTTATTGGTTGTATTTCGTTGAAAACGATGGACCTCTTTTTGAAACTTCTACTTTTCAGAAAGTACTTAATCGTAGCTAAAAATAAATTTTATATATTTGAAGGTACATTTTACCTTCGTCGAAAAAGGTAAAATTTTGGCACAGGACTAAAATTAAGTCAACAGGCACGATGACAAATCAGCTGTTTGAAATGAGAACAAATAAATAACAATTAAAGTAAACTCTTTCAAATAACTGATTTGATATGAATCATTTACGACCAATGTAAATGCTGTATTATTATAGATTTACTGCATTATTGCTATTGATTACCAATTCTAAGTAATTTACATGTCCTTTTCTTGGTGATTTGAAAAGGAAAATTTTTATGGCCAAAAAATATATTTGTTTAAAAATCTTGTCTTGAATTTAAATGAAAATAATAATTAATAATAAGTTTAAGATTAATAAATAATCTGGTAAAAATAGAAATCTTTTTAAAATGTTTTTATTATTATTATTGTATATAACTGACACAATGTTACACGTGTGGGAAACAGTAAATACAGCCTGTTAAAATATGTATTATAGATACAAACTTATGGATCGAGAGTAAATCTAGAGTTTATATTTACCAATGAATAGCGCGTTAGGCTCCTATAATATTCGTTTTTTATAATGTTTAATATTTTTTGAAATATGTTAGATTTTGTATTAAATTGATAACAAATGTAAAATACTTGATTAATTAATTAAAATACTCATTTGAAGTGAATTTAAAAAGACGAAAAACATATGTGATTATTGTAATGTACAAGAATTAAAAATACGATGTATTTACAAAAATACAGTAACATAAATCAAATTTGCATTTTATTTGTGTTTTTAATGTATTAATAATTGTATGTATAATAATTTATTTTTATTGAAATAGGTAAACAAGGACAGTATCAAGTCATAAATATGCAAAAGCGATCGATGACCCTAAAGGACTTTAAAGCAGAAGCAGAATCACAGAAATACAGAACACCGGTTCATTTTGATCATGACGAATTAGAGCGTAAATATTGGAAAAACATAGCTTATGTTTCTCCACTCTATGCCGCTGATGTGAAGGGGTCATTAAGTGATAGCGATCTTGACGTATGGAATATTAGCCGTTTAGGAACAATATTAGATTTTGTCAATACCGATTATGGTATCGAAATCGAAGGTGTTAATACGGCTTATTTATATTTTGGTATGTGGAAGAGCTCTTTTGCTTGGCATACTGAAGATATGGATTTATATTCAATAAATTATTTACATTTTGGTGAACCAAAAACATGGTATGCCATTCCACCGGCATATGGTAAACGTTTTGAAAAAGTAGCCGCTCAAATGTTTAAAGAGCATTACGATGATTGTAATGCACATTTACGTCATAAGATGACAATGATTAGTCCAAAAGTTTTGTCTCATTACAATATACCAGTCAACAAAATTACACAAATGGCAGGAGAAATAATGATTACGTTCCCATTTGGATATCATGCGGGTTTCAATCATGGTTACAATGGTGCAGAGTCCACTAATTTCGCTTCGCCGCGCTGGATTGAATATGGTAAACGTGCAAGAATTTGCCATTGTAATCGAGATACTGTCAAAATTTCAATGGAGACTTTTGTTAGACGTTTTCAAGCAGAACGATACGAAAACTGGTTAAACGGTGTTGATTATGGTTACCATCCTGAAGATCCCGGCAATATATGTCGAGCCCCACCACCAACACTAAATGTTTATGAATATAAAAGGTATATTAAATAAATTTCATAAAAAGTAAATTATTATTTTTATATTCCATCGTAGTTCCGAATCTTCAGGTGATTATAAGCAAAGCAGAAAAAGAAAGGCTTTCCAAAAAGTTAATCTGCAAAATAACACAAATGTCAGTCTTGCTGAATTTTCAAAGGAAGCAATTGTACGCGTACGAAAACTGTCATATAACCCGGTAAATACAGTAGATTATAATGCAATTTTTAATGATCAAATTGAAAGGTTATGGAACCAGTTGCCTAGTGAAACTGTTGGTAGAAATTTATTAACAAATGGCATTATTAAAAACACAAATCGTATGCGTTTTCATACAAAAACTATTATATTGAGCGATGATGAGTGAAATCCCAAAATTTCATTTAACATTGTATCTCCCGTTAAAAAGGGACTATGTAGTGTTTAGCACAGAATAGTTTTGCTTTTGTTTTAAAATTTATTACAAATAATTACAGGCTATTTAGCCTAAGTAAACTTCTTTCGCTATACCAAAGATCTCTGTTTTAAACGTATATTTATGACCACGAACAAATTTGTTTAAGTAAATAAAAATGTTTATATCAATTAAAGCATAAGAATACATTTACATATAAAAATTAAAAAACAATACAATTTTTAAATAATAAAAAAAAATATTTATTAAGCTTAACTCACATCAAATCTAATTATAAGAAAATTATAATTATCTAAATTATACTCTTTCCTAAGAAAGCATTTCGATATTACGATAAGTAGTGTTTCTCTGGAATTTCTTATTAAAGTTCATAAACTTAATGAATTTGCTAAAGATAAATATTTAAATTAAATAATTATGAAATAATAATTTTATATTACGATATATTGTAATAACCAAAGAAATAAAAAATAAGTTTCGAAGTTTATATTTTTTGTTGTGTTATGAATTTTTGTTTATTAAAATTTGTTTTACGGTTCATTTTTAGACTATAAGCAGAAAAGTATTAAACAAACATTTGTGTATAGCCTTATATAAATAAGTTACATTTTACAACTATAGTAACAAATTATTTTTCAAATCTATTATTTATAGCTTATTTTTTTCCATTCTTTCATATAGCAAAACACAAATATTTAAGAATATTTTACTATTTTTTCAAGCCGACTTACTGCCTTTACAAATCCTTATACTTCAACAATGGACCCCTGAATTCTTCTTTTATGAACTTTTGTTTTGTTAAACCTTCAAAGGGGTATCCATTCACGAGTCTGATTTTTACATTTTTTATTTGCTATTATAGAGACAGTTCTAATAGCATATTAAGATATCATTGCCACCTAATAATAGTTTGATATTTGTGTAATAGTTTGTCCTCAGAAACCTACCAAACTATTATTATTAAAATATAATCCCTAGATTTACAATTTGGCATTGGAGAGATAATTACTAAGTTGTATATGCAACTGTTAGATTCTATTAAGCAGCAATGACATAAATATTAGTAATGAACTCGTTAAGTTCTATTAAATAAAAAAAGTAATAACTACCACAGAAATTAGAACTTTTCAGTTTACTTACTTATCAATGATATCTGTAATGATATAAAAGCATAGATTATTGCTTTTGATAAATCCTAGAATACAGTTTGGTTCTTTAGTCAATGACAAGACAAAAGATTTCTAGTTCTTTACAATATTTGAGACATTTATATATTATTAAAAAATATTTGATCCTTTAAATTTTTTGAGAATACATATCGGTGTCTTTAATGTCATTATATTATTTCTTATTTTTAATCTTTTAGTATGGCAATATACTTCTTAATTATACTTAATTTATCATTATAATTATAATGAATATTATATATAATTATAGTTATTTTTCTTTCAAACTGTTATTTAATCTACATTTCAGTAAGTAACTTAAGTGTTGTTTTCATCTCCTAACTCCAATTAATATCTTATTTAACTATCATCTATTAGTTTCTACCATCTATATTATAACAAGATTATAAAGTCGATTGATTATCATTTTAAAAGTTTTTAAACCATTATAACTGTTATAGTCAGTTTTTTTTTATTTTATTATAATCATCATCATTAATAAGTGTTACAGTTCTGGATCATCTTTAACCCTGGGAACTATATTTTTCTATCTGTTTACGCACTGCGCTCTATGCTTAATCTTATGACAACTTTTTTTTTTAAATCAGTGATGACGCGATCAATACACTGCATTATTACAAGACTTTTTCTTGTATTTACCTCATTATGATCCGAAATAACCTGTAAAGTATGATTCGGCTGTAATAAGTAATAAGTTATTGTCATGTTAATAGAAGTTTCCATCATTATCTTTAATTACTATCAAATATTTTTCGTAAGATTTTTGTTTCATAAAGTATAAGGCATTGTTTATCTACATTTGTTAGTGTTCATTCCTTTGCTTTTCCAATATGTTCTAATGTGTGTAATAGAGTTACCGATAGTGTTTCGCTCATTTCGCCTCATTATTATGTTACAATCTATTTGAGCCCTTTACCTTCACTGAATACTTTTATTTGGCTAGCTGCCCTTCACTTCTAAACTTTGTTCTTTAAGAACACTTTTTTTAAAATTAATTTTTATATTTTATATATGTGAATTATAAGGACGTCCACCTAATACAACATCAACGATAGTGAGAACAGATTCGACAAATAAATATGTTTTAAA